ATCATAATATTCCAGCCCTGCTTACGTTGGGCATACTGCGTTTGACATTGGTGTTACTATACTACTACACTGTCTATGGTTAAACAGGGCCCAAATTGATAGGGAGTAAAACACGGAAGTGGAAGAGCTGTCCATGCATTGACCAATCACACAAGAGCTCACAAACACCAACGAAATATTTGTTGTTGTACTTAACAAAGGGGTTTGGCACTAAAAACAATGGAACGTTTATAGGCTTAACGTTGGATTTAGATCGTGTTATAATCCAAATCCCCTACTAAGACTTGTAAGCACCAATTTTCATATGGTGTCTTCACTGACATCGTTAGTCGTCAGTTGTACGATACCCGGATGACCCCCTGTCAAGAATGGCCTCTGAATAACGAGTTTATGATGTTACGTGAAATTTGCCAAGTCGCTATTATTATAGCTTTCGCGAACACTTTCACAAAATGATATCGAACATAATGTAATGAATATAACACATATAGATAACCATAAAATAAACAATTAGCTAAGGGCTCTAGAAGGATTGCTCAATTTGTAAAATTTTATGTGACACGGTCAGGGTTTTATACATTGAGTCTGAAAGAGAAAAAAAAAACTTTGCTTTGAAGTAGGGTGTGTCGAAATCACATAATTGAAGGAGAAATTGAAATGTCGTACGTAGATTAAAATATCACCATAATTTTACAAATCTCGCAGCAGAAAAAAGCTATTGTTTTTTTTTTTTTTCATAAGAGGAAGCTACTGTCTTTCTCAACAGGACGCTACTGTCCTTTTCAACAGGAACCTGCTCATTCCACGGCGCCATGAAATCAAGGATTCATTTTAGTGATATCTAGAAATGTGCAAATAATATTACAACTTCTTGCTCCAATGATATTGGCAGGATTCAACAGACATGGGCTTAATTGAATTGCAGCGTTGTCCCTCTGAAGATTATCGTGGTTACTAAACACACTCTTTTTTCAACAGGCGTTTCCTGATATTTCTCTCATTTTAAAATCCAAAATGGCCGCCAAAGTATGGGAAATTCGTAGAATTGTTATTTTTTATAGAGGTAAGTTGGGTACCATCGATTTGTGTTTACTGTTATATTTTTTATAAAGAAGAATTTAAAAAAAATGTCGTGCTTTTGAAATTTGAAGTTTGGCTTAGTTAGCCGTGTCCATTTTTTTTAAATATAAAAAAAAATCGAACAACTAGGCGCAGAACACTACATTCTCGTTTTCTTTATCTTGTCGTGTTCATTTGGTCATCGGTTTTCATACATACACATACTTTGCAACCCACAACACATACATCGTATGCTACACACCGGGTTATTAATGGGCTCTGGCACTTTCCCCGCTCTATTAGATATCACTTCGCCGGTTTGTCGGGAAGTTTCGTCTGCTTGAATTCCGTTCGTCTGAGTATCTGACGCGCGTCTCGACACGGGTTCTTCAAGTACGATATTGTTGTCATACGCGTAGTCGTTCTCATCCCCGCTAACGTGTCGTTTTCCGGTAGCGACCCCGAACTGCGAAATCGTAGCAAGTGTGCTGGAGTCGGTTGTGCGCTTCATGAAACAAGGAAAAAATGTTTGCACGAAAGCTCGTCTGTATCGTTCGCTCATAACGTTATAGACGATAGGGTTGATCGCCGAGTTGGTGTATGCCATGAATCGACCAACCTGTAAAAACATGGATGGTAGCGAAATTTTTTCCGGATATCCTAAATAGTAAACGACCGCGATGATATCATCAACGTAGTATGGCAAGATACAGACGTAGAATATCGTCGAAGTGACGATTAACATTCTAACAATCTGTTTTCGATTCTGTACAGATTTTGAGCTCGTGGATGAACTCATCGTTTTGGAGCTTTTTCTCAATGCACCGATAATCTTGACATTTAGTACTAGAATAACTATCGCGCTAAAAAAGAACGGTATGGTCTGCAAAGCGTAGCACTGTAGCGTGACTCCACCTTGAAATATTATCGGGACTGTGCCGCACTTCATAATCTTGCTCGGCAAGCCCGTGACCTCAACCGAGTCAGCCCAGACGATATTAAACACCTTACCATCAATGAAAGAGACACACGGAGACGCCAACAAAGCTGAGATGATCCAGACGCAGACGAGAATGGCAACGGTTCGGCGTTTCCCGCTCAGACGGTGACGTTTCATTGGCTGACAGATGGCGTAGTAACGCTCAAACGTGAACAAACAGATGGACAGTTCTGATACGTAATGTGGAGTGAATATGAGACCAGTAATGAGACGACATCCGTTTGGCCCCCACGAACTGTAATCGGACGAGAAAGGCGAGAAATAGTATCTCACCAGTTTGTCTGAAACTACGATGCTCAGATACGTCATATCCGCTAAAGCGATGTTGACCAAATAGTAGTTGGTGACGGTGTGCATGGACTTGTTAGAGACCACCACAAATAGGAACGCCGCGTTACAAGTTATGCCTATTGCTAATAAAATAGGCATGGCAATGGTCAATATAGCTGCTTGACCCTCTTTATAGAAATAATCCCCCATGGTGTTTTCGTCAAGGTAGACCGTATCGTGCCCGTATACATCAGTCGTGTCCTTGTACGATGCATTCAATGGCCAGTCAGTCGAGTTGCTGTAGTTCCAGGATAAGTACATGTCATAGATGGTACTAGCCAACATGGACACGGCTGTGGTGTGCAGTGCATCTTCACTTGAACTAAAATTGGTCGTCATGGGTACTTCGCTCCCCGTGTTCGGCCCCGTGCCAAAAAGCGTGCTTGTTGTCCCGTTATCCATTTGTTTTGTCTTCAGTCGTATCTTTATGATGTGTTAGTTTACACAATCATAACCATGCACTGTTAATTAAAAACACAAAGAGAGTTGTTAGCCCGCATATCAAATCTATAGATCAATGCATATTAAATCAATGCATATTAACATTGAATATTAATAAGCCTGGCCATGAACACAAACTGTAACCTCACCCACATTGATACACACATATCTATGACGTGTACCGACATGTACAATTCGTTCACTCATACATGGTATTTATAATGAATTATTTTATATAATAATACTTGATATACATAAATATTTGTTTATGTCTGTCGATTTTTACCGTGACAGACTTTTACAAAATTACTATTTTTTTTTTTTTTTGTTCGGTCGAGATCAGTCCTCTAATCTTAGCGTCCATGCTCATCCACATGTGTGTTTCCTCGTTCATTAATATTACTTGTTGTTTATTGAGTTTTATTCTTTCGTATTCTTAATTTAGTCATATTATTAGACTATATTTTACTGTATCTTTTCGTCCTTATTTTATAAAATTCCAAGCTGTATTAGCTGAGATACAAGAATTGAAAGTTGTTACATGTCTGATATTATACCGTAATACATGTATCGGTGACCACCGAACTCGGCCAGATTTCTACTCGGCCGGTGACCGGTATCTCTATTGTAAAGAAACACAGATTTGAGTTACATAAGGCATTTAGTAATAACTACTATCAGCACTAACGCAATAGAAATCAGTTACAAGGTCAAGTTAAAGCTGATGTATCAATACTACTATCTAATAATTGTGTTGTCCTTCAATCTTTATTCTAGAGGTGTGAATCCTACTCAGCCCTATAAAAGGTCACCTCATTGTATATTTCTTCAGTTGCGTCCTTGTTACATTATAGTTTCTTTGTTGTAACACTGTACGAATACATAGTGTATTGTTTAGATGTACTTTATGCTGTCTTTATTATCTGAACCTGATCCAATGTGAGCGAATATCATCCACAAATGTGGCGTGTATTTTGGAGGTCGTAACTGATTGGACGACGATTAATTAATCGACCAACCCGATTTGGTTTTACAAATATTTAATGTTTTCATTTTCCACGTTAGTGCAGTTGCAGGAAACTTTCAACTTTTATTTTTGGTGTGGTGATACGGCGATAGTATAGTCTTATTGTTGCTTGGAGTTCATTGGGCTGATCCGTTGATCTGTGGGTCCCGAATTGTTAAAAAAATCAACACTGGTTAATACTACAGCAAAGTCGCTTACTCATAAATTGACCTGGAATGAAAAAATACATTTCAACCGTGACGCCCCTTTTTATGCGACAGCAGTAATCTTGAACATATACCTTGATATTTCAAGATGTACACAAAATCGCTTCTTTGATTGAAGCGACAAATATACTTCGAAACAGCGTTTCCTACTTGAACAACGCAGATATATGTTTATCTTAATCCAATGAAAATTAAAAAATCTAGAAAAAATAAAATGTGTCATACCCATTTTATACGTGAAATAGCGACAACTTAAAGGGCGGCCGTCGTCGCGCCACGCATGCGCGAGATATAAACAAAGATGACGACTTTGAATGATGCGCAGATGAAGGAGTACAAATTGAGACGTTACCAAGCTTTAATTAGGTAGTGTGTTAGGAGCCGCTGGTGGTAATTAGTGCAAGTCGCGCACAGGTCAAAACTTATAATGGTGATTTCCATTAGAAGAGTACATTGAATTGTGGTAAAATCAATGTTTATCAACACAAATGTTGCACATGCGCGACGCGACGACCACCGCCCTTTACTAGTAAATAGAATAGGCTCACTACAGGCTTATTGTCTGAATTGTCTGTGTGTCAGTTCATTTGACAGACCTCACAATTCTAAACAAGGTTAATAATATAATTTACACTCAAATTCGCATCACAATTTCTTATTTAGACATCAATGCCCGAATACAATTGCCAGTAAAATACAATTACTGAAACAGCCAGTATAGTAGATGAGCACGTGACTTTCTTAGTGGGTGTTTTTAAGAAACAATTTCCGGTAAGTAGGTCAGCAATTTTTATTTTGTTTTCTTCTTTCTCGCGTCACATTGGACTGCATGTTTTGCTTTTATTCAAAATACTCGATAAATCGTAAACTGTAAATATGGCGACGCTTGTTTCGAACGCCCTACTCAGATGGCACCATGCGTGTAACCACCGGAAAATCGTTTTGGGTAAACTAGACAGACACCCGTATCATGTTGGAACCATTTAGCGTAATTGCTACATAATTTAAATTACCCCGAGATAAAAAAAAAAAAAAAAAAAACTCGTGGGGAAAACGACTTGGTAAATATTCATTCAGATGAATCGACGGCACATTAAAGTGTGCCCACCTCGGTTACAACAGATTAGCGGATAATATATACTGCACAGAACTAAATTATTAGATGGATTTAATTTTCACTGATAGCTGAATGAACTAAATTAAAATCTGGTGAATATGCAAAGTTGACAATAAGAATGTCTTGTTTCGAATTTAAAACTTAGTGAATATCTTTGAAACATCAAATTTGCTAATACCTAGTGAAAGAAATCCGGCCACTGGTAGCGTAATGGTTGTCGCATCAGACTCATGATCGGTAGGCAGAACATCAAAGGGTTTACCCCTACCCTGGGTGAGTGCCACAGGCTCAATGGGAAGGCCAATTCCACTGGCCGAGACTCATTCACTAACGAATGCGACTTTGGGGGAACCTTGGTCAAGGTCCGCAGGTGCTTGTGTTCGACCGAGCCTGGTTGACGCCAGGATAGCGCATTAAAATTGCCATTAGATAGAGTGATGGCCACACAGCCCTTCATGTAGTTATCATGAGGGATTTCTTCTTCTCTGGTTTCTCCACACGTGTCAGGCGGGAATCTCGTCTGGGCTCTATATCCCGCCCCCTTGAGGTACGGGATCGGGAAAGTCACTTAAGCTTTACAGTCAAATAGACGCACACAACAAAATACGTTTCAACTATCTCGTCTTTAGTCGGTCAGTCGAGCACTCCATAAGACACGGCGCCCTGGGGAAAAGTCCCCAAGACTATCGCAAGGCTTACCCAAGACTCGCCCAAGACTGCGTCTGTCCTGGTGTTCTCGCCAAGACCAACCAAAACAATTTTATTCATTTTCAAAACCTTAACCAATTACAATGAAGTTAAAAGACTCTAAGGCGTGGCTTTCACACATTCAACTGGACACGTCATATCTTTTGATTAATCGTTGACTATATTAGTAACTGCGAATACCAACTGTCAGACATAGTAGTCCGGATAGCGACGGTTATATCGTAATTAGTTCGAAATCACTGAGTCGAGTTCCGTCCAGGACCTCGCATGAGCCTAAACGATGACAGACATAACACAGCCATTCGCTAGTAATCAGCTAAATAAGTCGATCAACAGATACGTGCAAACAAATTCACCACATAATACCAAACATGAAAATGCACTATGTGTCAGCACTAGCACTTCAAATTTGCACATACAAAAAAGTCAGGAGAGATAACAGTGACACTCCACTGGCACAAACAAATATTACATATTTTAGTGAAATAGTAAAATTCATAGTGAAATATTTTCTTTTCTACAGTATGTATGTAATTAATATCATACGCTAGTTGTAGTATCATCATCCTGCATCATTTACTATTATATTAATTTGGCTGCTAGGTGACAGCATACATTAAGCTAGCCTAACATCGACAATCTAGAATAAATTGTTTCCGTCATCCTAATCAGCATGTATTTTGCGGATCACAATAAATATATATATATATATATATGCAAATGAATTGTAATTGACATGACGTATATTGAACGTATTTGTAGAACAACTCGCAATCAACGCCAAAACATCTAAGTAATTGAATTGACGATTGAATGTTTGGTAACACTCGGTCACCGTTACAAACTAAATAAAATTATAGTTAAACTTATTAGACTTCACAGTTAGATAAATTTAGAGATTACGCGCGTAAATTTGTATACAAAAAAGTACGTGACCCTTGTACCAACAACGGACACGTGTTGAATTTCATGGTTTAATGTATTAAATTAACCATACTTGCCCAAAATCTCCAGTGTGGTCGTATTTCGATTCAGAAATTCACAGTAACTGTGTTAGAATATTAAAGACAACACCAATATATAACTTGCGTGTTCTTCAAGCCCAGGAGTAGTCTCGATAGCCGGACGGACATATATGATCAGGTACAAATAGCACTGTCAATCAGTTCGTTTATTATATGAAACGTGCCGTTGCGCTTTGTTTTCGAGTCACGTGGGACAATGCGGCGTTTGATTGCCGGCTTTGTTTGTTAATTGCTGTCAACGTGAAGATAATCTTGTTTTCGAAGACGATATTTATAATGAATACTACACACTTTAATCTCAGGTTCAACTGAATATATTATTTAAATGTATTCTAAATTTATAATTGATGATGGAAGTACATCATCAATATATTTGAATACGACATCGAAGGATTTGTGTTTTTTGTATTGTTTTTTTTTTCTACTTTCTGTAGAAATTAAGCTTCATAGGAATATTAGAATAAATCAGACAGACAGGGATCACAATTCGTTAATTAGAATGCCAATACTTAGTAAAAAAATAATAAATAAAAATAAATCTCATAAACTCAACCAATATGTTGTTAATAACAAATTTTAGCATACTGATTATATCAATAATCCATCAATACGATAGGTGACAAGTAGGGACGTAATTATGCTAATTTTACCCAATTAGCTTAATTGTGTTCATTGTATTGCATTAAACACACACATTACACGTTAGGATTTTTCAGAAAAGAGACAGTGATCAAGGGTCAAAGTTCACTCATAGTTGTCATTGAAAATACAATATTTAAATCAAAGTTATCAAAATCATCTACATCGTACAACAAAAGAATTACACTAAATTAATTAATAAAATATAATTAGAAACCATAGAATTTATTATCGGCATTTATACTTTCAATTTATAAATTGAATATACTTTCATTTATACAGATCAAGATCATGTCGAAATGACCAAGAAGTCTAGAATGGGGAATAAAAACGAAACAAAATGTACACAGAATAATCTGAATAAGGATACATTGAACAATCAGGACTTATAAGATAACAGATATGCTTAATATAAACACATTATTATACCGTACGACATTAATATTCAAGTAACTGATGACCACTTTCTAAAGACTTGTAAGGAGACAGATTCATTCAACTAGTCCACCATTCACGTCGCGACTTATATCTCGATTCCGATGATCTGCGTAATGTAATCGTGATCTGGCCCAATGACATAAAAAAATAACTTCGTTTTTTCCCTCAGAATTCACGCCCTGGCATGCTTGCAATATCTCTGATACACTGTAACCATTCGTGCATATGTTCATATGTCAACAAAGAAAGAAGTACTTACATCTTACACCTCAAGTGAAGCTAGATGTAGCTCTCATATGTCATTCGCTAGATCTAAATTGTGAGGTAACGTAACAAGTGGCTTGTGATTACACATGCAAGTATCAGTTGTTATTCTGCTCATTATCCCATTGTTCATCTACACACAAAATTTACATAACACACTTATGTAGCAATGTACACGCCATAGAATGTAAATTTAAACAGCAGCCGGTATTGAAATGGGTCAGGGATTTCTAGAAATCCCTCCTAGCGTGGCATCGTCCATTCCTGGAAAAGAGACACGATTTTAAAAATAAACACCAATACGCAGGATTTGAGCCTAAATATAAATATAAAAGTAACATCGTGGTTTAATATAGAAACCACCTCCCCTCAACGTTTCTGGTTTTTTGATATAAAGAACATTGGTAGCCGGTGTTCTGATTGATGCCATTGAGGTAGCCGGTGATATGATTGATGCTACTGTTGTAGTTGGTGTTCTGATTGATGCTTCTGGGGTAGCCGGTGCTCTGATTGATGCTACTGTGGTAGTTGGTGTTCTGATTTATGCTAATGGTAGCCGATGTTCTGATGGATGCTACTGAGGAAGCCGGTGTTCTGATTAATGCCACTGATGAAGCTGGTGTTCTGATTTATGCTAATGTAGCCGGTGTTCTAATTGATGCTACTGAGATAGCCGGTGTTCTGATTGATGCTACTGAGGAAGCTTATGTTCTGATTTATGCTAATGGTATCCGGTGTTCTGATTGATGCTACTGAGATAGCCGGTGTTATTCTGGAGGGCACTGCTGAAAGCAAGAGATCGCAGAGCAGTTCATACAAGTCTCACACAATGATGGTTAAAGCCTGTATCACTTGTCTCACAATATCACAGTAGCTACACACGGGATACTAAGTTGAAATAATGGACCCCAACTGTCCAATTATATGCATGAATGGCCCAGATTCAGGGACACCACCTGGGTTTCCACATGAGCCAATCAGAATGTGATCTTGCTAGCAGCTGTGTCACGCAACTCAGTAGATCATAGACATCTTTTGTTATTCAAATAACAGCCCACACAGCCCACCCCGTAGATTCCAATTGTCTTTCCATAGTTGTTAACACCCTTTGTTATGTAAATCACAAGCACACCTGGTAGAATCCAACTGTCCTTCCAAAGTTGAAAACAAGTATGACCTGTCAATCACCTTTATAACAGTTATCACAAGGCAATGCACACCGTTTCTTCCCATGATTCCATGCGCATGCTACTGTTGTTGCTAGTGTTCTGATTGTTGCTACTGTGGTTGCTAGTGTTCTGATTGATGCTACTGTGGTTGCTAGTGTTCTGATTGATGCTACTGTGGTTGCCAGTGTTCTGATTGATGCTACTGTTGTAGTTGGTTTTCTGATTGATGCTACTGTGGTAGCCGGCGTTCTGATTGATGCTTCAGTCATTAGCACATATCACATATTTTATCAACAGAGCAAATATACGATTCCTTTGATTCCTGGAAATGTCAAAAAGGTACCCGTGCCCATTTACAAAAATAATTCACAGTCCCCTTGGGTGCATACCAGATGCAAAATATCATGTTGGCGATGGTTGAATGCAACATGCAGTTCATCGTGATAGGTACATAATTCAGGTGTGATTCAGTCAGTCCAATGGCCTAATATGCTAACGCTGTGACTACATGCAACTTGTGATGGGGCTGCAGAAAACCCATCTGAAAACTGCGAGAAATCTAGACTCTCCACTGACACAAAAGGTTTCAGCTTGATATCGGAGTGGCGACCCCCCCCCTCATTATTCAGCTGCTCGCCAATAATTGCTTCTTGCTATATTTACTAGTTTGCTTTTACCATGAATTAAATATTTATATATTGCAATCTTGGGAAGACCAAAATAGATAGTATATTAACGTTCAAACATATTATTCTTTGGTCAATGGGTGGTTTTCAAGAAAGGTAATGAAACCGGTATCTCAATCTGAAATCAGAAGATAACAATGATTAATCATGTGCACAAATGCCGATAATTCTGAGTTATGCCTGATTTTACAATCTGGAAAAATGTCCTCTTGATATTTCAACCAAAAATAACATATGATGATAAATATGCATTGTGCCCGGCAAAGAGTATTTGCATACGAATATCCCTAGGCTATTAAAGTAAATATCATTCCTGGATCCATGGCGTTGACATAGTCGTCGATATTTAAATGTTTTATTTTTTTCTTTGAGACTCGGTCGAACATATAATAATAATACTTGTGTTTGGGCACTTGAGTAGAATATAGAATTATTGGCAAACTACCAAAATATCAAACTACTAACAGCTTAACCGTTCACCCATGACGACATCACCTCCTTCCCCGCAGAAAAATAAATAAATTGATAATTACGATCGCATCTGATATGCGAAGAGAAAGACCCAATTGATATGGGTATGGGTATCAACAGATTGTAATTTTTTTGAATAAATATATAAATGGTTGGGAAATACGATAACATGTAAACGTATACGTCATAATATAATGGGAAATGAAATCCCTTAAATATTTAATGGTTCGTGTTACCAAATTAATGCATATTCGATACAGGTATTCTAAACTCTGTAACTGACACCCATAAATATTTCCGAAATTATTATTTTATCAATATGAAACTATACCCGTATTTTACTCTACTGATTTTATTTCAATAACCAAGGAATACGTCATGAAACGTCGGCGTCCATTTTCATTTAGGATCTAATATTATTGGAAATTTAAATTGCTAAAAAAATGACAAACTATACATTTATGATGATTCTCTGATTTATATTTGCATGAAGTTTAATGGTGTGGTCAAGGTTAATATACCAACACCAACAAATAATCATTTAATTGTTATCATCTTTTGATACTGATAACTCATCATCTATGATCGCACCTGCTTTTAAATTACCTTACCAATATTGTCATTCTCGTGTTAGTAACAGTGGGGACCATCACCATGACTTGTTTCTTTTTACTGTAGAAAATCACCAGCTGTGACGCTATTACTGACTGGCTATTTGTGCTGTCAATCACTTGGACATTGTATACGACGAACATGACATAGTAATATACTAATGTAATGTAATGTACATGACTTGAACATATGAACACACGTGGGAACAAATGGACTAGCTACACGTCATGTCGTGACTTCTGTTCGACCACAATGTACCCCCTTCACGCCAATCTAAGCGACACATGTACTGCGTCGCCTGACACAGAAGCAAATGCAGGCAGGCTTGAATTTACCTGAGCTATATATTCCACCTCAACTGATGCTTCGATGTTAACATGCAATGGCAAATTTACAATCATTCATGTAGGCTTGTATAGTGTTTTCCATGCAGACACTGATAGATTTATTGAAAAAAAATATGTGTTGTGTTCAGTATTCCACCCTGGTGCAGCAGCCACTCAACTGCAAATTAGCAAGGTTTTTTGCTGAGACTTCAAATTGATCCTTTTTTTTAATCTAGTCATCACTCATATCCTGCATGGAAGAGACATTGGAGTTTGTTACAATCTCTGAGTTCGATACAGTGTATTGGACATATGTTTTGATCATACATTCTCGACAGTTCTCAAAGGAAATTGACATTACAACCTTCCAAGTTAAATCGCTCTCTGTAAAGCTTTGCATATAGATTTGCAATCAAGTTCAATGAAACAATTCTGTTTTACTGATTCACCAGATGTCTCAGTGGTGGATTGAGATGCTAATAAGCTTTTTATGATGCTATTTGATCTACTTAGAACATGACGAAGTCCAGCAATAGCATTTTAAGTTTTTTTGCCAAAACTACACAAATAATTCATCACCAGATCATTATCCAATGGGTTACCATCTTCATCGTGACTGAACGCTTCCTGTGGGAATAAATATGATTTTGTTATTATATTTGCATGAACGAAAAAAACACTGAATAACTACATACTTCAGTTACATTATAAGAAAACTGGTCTTAAAAATGTGTAACTGTTTGTATACTCAGATCATTTTGAAATGAAAGACTATAAGTATATAGAAACCAATGTTTTACGACACGGTGTATTATGGTGTTTGCAAACCAATTAGAGGAAGTACCTCAGGTACACTGGGTGTTAATAATTACACTTAAGTGATTCTTTTGCCCGGATTTCTTTCTATAGATCATTATATTTAAAGTACATGATTTGCATCTTTATTTTCAACCAAACACTTTTGGAAAACTAACAATAAAAGTACTTGACTACTAGTATAATATGGACAGTACACAAATCTTTGGATGAGGAAACAAAATCCAAACAATCATAGGTAAAATAAAAAAATCATCAAGATACATGAATTCTACATTATAAATTAACACAAGTTTTAGCAACTTACCACGATAACACAGCCGTGTCTTGCACTAATGTATTGATTTCCAAAAAAAAAAAAAAATAGATGACCGACTCTCTCTGAATCAAAAAATGTCCACTATCGTATGCAGTTTAATGCCTAATTTCATCTTTCATGTTTACATGGCGAAGGCTGGACGCGGACTAAGACATCGTCACGGTTTGATATCTGATTCGCGCGAAACATGAGCAGGCTTCTATATATTTGCGTGTTTGGTGTTGGCACCGTTGAGTGAACTCGATGTTGGTAAATCACGTGATACAGTTATCATCGCTTGTCATTCAAAATAACAAAACAATGATTTACTATTTTAGAATGTACTCATGGTGCTGGTAATATAACAGACAATGGCGTACGAGTGAGCCCAGCTGAAAAGTTCATCAATTTACTAAAATTACAACTGACGTAACCACAGAAGGGGGGTAGCTGGTACAGTTTTGCAGGAAATAAAAAAGGCTTTTTACAATTTACAAGGGAAAAAAAGACGTTTTTACAGTTTACAGTGAAAATTTAATGATTACAGTTTACAGAGAAAATAAAGGTTATTTTACATTTTACGGAAAATTAAAAAAGAAAACCTAGAAAATTCTTGTACGTACCGGAAAACTTAAATCATATATTTTCAGTGTACGAACAAAATATTTGATTGATTACGTTGTAAGTCTAGCCTGTGATTACAGAATTACGGAATATATTTTTTTCAATTTACGTTGTACGAACAAAAAAATATTGCAATTACGTTGAACGAAAATAACCCTTGCCCCCCCCCCCCTCACAGAACGTCGAAGCGCGCGAACTGCGCACGTCGGTTTATTTAATAGTTCACGGGTGAGTTGTGCGAAATTCAAAATGGCGCCACGTACGACTCTCAATCAATCTCAAACAGGCAGCCTTAAATACTGTAATGATTCCCCTAACTAGGCACATTTTCTTCGCGGTTAATTTGCTTGATAACGTACTAAAACTGCACTACAACAAGTAAAAATGTTTAAGACAAAGAACTATTTATTAATTTCTTACAGGAGTGACATGGCACACGTCATACACCACAACTGGAGAAAACTGACGCTCTATTCAGGGCTGGGAAAACTGGTTTTACTAACGAAATGTCTTAAAATGCCCGTTTGTCTAGATTTATTTGAACGGGTCGGATATTCCACGTCTAACACCCATACAATGCAAATCACTTAGACATTTATGAAGTTGGTCGTTTATTGTACAATTATTATGTATTATACTGTTAAAACGCCATTTCTGCATGTTTTATCTATTTAACATTATATTCAGATTTGGGAATAAATCGTTATATTAAACTGATTGAAGTAACTGGGCGATTTGAATATAACTGTGTTAACCGACATGCACTTGAAATGTTATCTAGAGCGATCTTTGCGATAGGTTCCCGGTCACCCCCGCTGTGCTCGCTATCAATATGTAAGTAATTAGCATATGACGACAGAGAGCAGCTGAGTAGTTTTGATTTATAAAAATAATCACAGCATAATATAACAAAACAAAACAATGGTGCCGTCCATGGACCGGAAGTGCACTATGTTCAATCTCTTTGGGTATTTAGATTTAATTCATACTCCAATGGAAATCTGCACATGTTAACAGAAGAATATTCGATTCAGTTTTACTTGTATGATATGTTCCCGATATGGTGCACAAATCACCTTTGAAAGTAGGCTCGTACAAAAAAACTGCGTTTTCTATCTGAGATATTTTTCATTATTTTAGGTTTATTTTCTCCTCTTATAATAATTAGACTGTAGATGTCTTTGAATGACGGGCCGAGTGCATGAGAACGTATCAAAACCATTCTCTCAAAATCGGGTACAAGCCACGTCATTTCGGCTACGACTCATAATGTATCGGCCTTAAAGTTATGTTTTGCGAACATAATTAATTAACGTACATCGGTGACATTGCGATGGACAGTCTCGAATCCGACAGTGACACCGGGAAGTAGCGTCGAAAATTAATTGTATTGCAAGGGGTTTTTTCCAGTATTATTTCATCGACAGTAAACAACGTAAGACCACCCTAAATCAATAATACGGTCCAAATCATAACCACCATTTCGGATTTGTTCAACCATGTGACGAACAAATTGATAGTGCTCGAATAAAAGAAATACGGGAATGGAAACCGTGACGCGACCAGATCAGCACGTTGAAACAGGTGGTTCATTTTGTGCAATAACCAATCACGCCATGTAATCATGCTGAACTCGTTTGGTGGATTGTGCGTCGCCCACTTGTTTTATGACGCATAAACTACCAAAATCGTTGATTATCTACTAGTATTACGTAGTGATTAACATATTATGAAACAGGATATTGCTGGCGATTGACGGAGCGCAGCTAAGCGTGACAATATAATTGATTTAACCTTAGGACATTGAATACGTGAACTTTGTTTTATCACGAGTATACTGACACACAATTGCATAATTCTTTTTTTTTTAAATTTCAAG